TGTAACTAAATTGCATTGAATAGATGTACCGTTTTCTATATATACAACAAAAGGCCAAAATATCCGTTTCATAGTTCCGCGTTCGAATGTCTTAATTTTCTAAATTAGGAACTTTTAATAGCAAATAAAAACTTTTAATGGGAAATGTTATTTGGATAATAAGCAGTTTTTCTACAATGTGAGATTTTTATCAATGGACGTCTTATTTTGGCAAGTCAAATGCTTTAAGCTTCACATTTAGGTAGCTTATTGAATAGTTTTGAAATGTATCGCAAGTATCGTTGTTTATAAAATGAAGCGGCAATATTCATTACATTTGCCAAGAGTTGATACTGTACTGCCATCTTACGTAAAATAGGACCTAATTGTTAGTTTTCGTTTGATTACTATTAAAATTAACACACCGAGGATTATATGTATATGTGTCATTTTCTGTAACAGATTTTACAAGCCTTGCATATCCCCAGATATTGTTTCTTGAATGTGTTTAAAAGCTCATGAAAGTGATACAATATCTTTTACGTTTTCTGCATCATTTCTAAAGTCGGAACTAATCAGTAAATATTACCTTCTAACTTCAAGAATTATTCATATTTTCTCAGATAAAATCATGTTGCAATAAAATTTAGTATCTCGTTGTATATCATTGATACTTAATAACAAAATATAATGGTGTAGATATATTTGGAATTATTTTCAAATATCGTTTGTTAATATGATTTCATTCTTCATGGAGCCATATTTTAAAATCTTTGTCTATTTTAATCTTGCAATTATTAACAGATTTCAAGTTTGATAACTGAGAGGAGGAAGAAAGAAAGAGAGAGAGAGAGAGAGAGAGAGAGAGAGAGAGAGAGAGAGAGAGAGAGAGAGAGAGAGAACAATCATAAAGTAAATATTTTTGCACTCTGTGTCACTTATACTTAAGATCATTATCCTTATAAAATTTAAATGTGTCATAAATTCTCATAGTAGTTACACTTTTGATAAAATTTTGTTTCAAGATGTTCAAATATTTATTTTTATCTAAAATATCTTCGATAAAAACCAATTCTGCATCACGAGCACTTGAAATGTACTTTCCACCACGTGAGGTATATGTTCAATTATTAGACAAATATCTGACTTCTCATTGGATCATATTATAACTTTTCGAATCTAAAAGTACCATATTTACCTTTGTCAACAAATAAAAAATCATTTCACTAGACTTTGAGTTTGAAAATGTATTCTTTTTCGAAATTTCAATATTATCTTCTTGTCCACTTTATTAATATATGGTTTTTCGAGTTATACGCCTATTACATCAATTTTCTTCAAATACACATCAAATCCTCAGAATATTGGAACAATGATTCAGACATTATTTTTCACTATTCTCACAACTATATGTTTATCTCGAGAATCTTTAGTAGGTTCTTTTGTGGTATTGGAAAAATATAAATGTCTATATGCATATAAATATAATAATATATATTATTTTTAATAGAATCGAAATTCACCAGTTACGTGATTTTATTGTCTCAGCATAATCATTTATCACAACAAAAAAGAATTATTTAATTTTTTAATTTTTTAATATAGAGCAAAGGAAGGGAAACATTACAATATCCGAATATCAAACTTAGTTTCAACATGTAAGATCTTCCATATCTTATGCCGTTTGAATCCTGAAACAAAATTAAAAAGATGTTTATTTGAATATTACAATTATATTCATTAACTGAAGCTTTTCCAATGTACTTATTAATATATTTTGTACATATTTTACCTAAACGGTTCCTACACGATATATCTCGAAATAATTAGATGTTTTGAGACAAGGAAATATCGTTCAAAAAGTAATTGTAATTTTATATATATAGTAGTAATGTACATATAAAAAACAGAAAACAGCAAAAAGATAAAATGGTTGTCAGAAATACAACTATACGTCCAATATTCACTATTCACATGGCAAATTTCTCCACATTGAAATAAAATGTTTACAAACAATTAATCATGTGATTTCAAAAAGCGTGGTTATTTATATAGGATGACTCTCGTAACGTGACATTATTCTCTGTACAAAAAATGTTTCAAACAAAAGTTACATGATTTCTATGAGTTTTGTTATTACTTTACTTTTTTGTCGAGACCTTTTTTATGAAAGTCATCTTCAATTTTTTAAATGGAATGCAGCTAGATATTCTCTACAAAAAAGTATTAACCCATGTATGTCGAAAAATTATTAGAATATAAGATAATTTAACTTCAATTTCATAAAATCTATGCGTAAAAGATAAGTTCAATATGATCACTAAATAGATTTAATGTACTAGATTTTATAGAACTGAGATTAAAATATCTCTTAAACTAATAGTTTTTCAACACATACACACACGTGTGTGTATATATATATATATATATATATATACACACGTGTGTGTATATATATATATATATATATATATATATATATATATATAATGCTTTTTTATAGAGAATGTCGATTAATTAATGGATCAAAAAATATATCATTCCATTTAAAATACTGAAACAAAATAATAACAAAATGATTACAATATTATATGTACCTGTAAAAATCATACAACTTTTGTTTCTTTTTTTTCATTTTTTTTATAGAGCGAATAAGTTATTTAAATTATTTCAAGTCGTCACGTATGTCTCGAAACGTAATTATAAAGTAGGTGATAAATATGGATTCAGGCACTGTAAATCATTTTAAATGTCATAAGTACCGATGCTACAAACAAATCCAATTCTTATTAAAACCGCTAAAAACTGTGTCTCGATATATGTAATAAAATTGTCATAAAATTCTGAATAAAGTAAAATGAGCTCCGAAAGAAACCTTTTGCGAAGATTTCTTTTATAATGTATAGAAATTGTCCATATTTCTGAAACATAAAATCTTTCATTCATTCGTCTGATTTTTTGACCGTTTTTTTTTTTTTTTTTACGTATAGTATTTTCTCTTATTCAATAAATATAAAGAAATATTACTATATCCAACAATTGCCATTCCTTTTTTCTATGCATAGATATTAAAATCAACTTCAAAACACAATAAACAAAACAGCATAATGTCATCGATGTAACGTAATGATACTCGAGGTAAATTTCAGCGTGTACAACTTTATCCACGTTAAAATTTAATGAAAGAAATCATAAACTGTCTAATTAAAACATACGAATTCATCTAGTTACAGTTGCAGCTATATATATTCCGATCACATGTATCTAAAGAAGCCTTAAAGTATAAAGTAGTTTTAGATTATAAATATCGCTTACAATCTACTTATAATGTATTGCATAATATAATTTACTAATTATTGCACTGATTAAAATAATTATTTAAAAAAAACTAAAGAAAAGAATTGGATTCATCTTATTTCCACTTCGAATTTTTCAAATTCCAGTCTCAGTGATCAAGACCCGTGTGATAATTTTATGATCTCATTATCTCTTTCACCAAAAAAACGTATCATAAGTACTAAAATAGTTTTAATAATTATAATTAAATATATTAAAAATAATTCTTAAATATATGGAATTCAATAGTAAAACTAGTTACAACACAAAGCAAAACTAAACTTAAAATGTCATAACTCAAGAATTATATCACACATGTACTTTCCAATATTTTTTTATTCGATAACAATTTATTTATCCTATTATTCATGTATTTTTCGTTTTTTTTTTATTTTCTTACATTTTCTTTCATTTCAGATAAACAATATATATAAACATTTTCAGAATATCTTCGATTACATCCACGCAAAACCTTGTGCAGTTATGTATCTGTATATAACATTCTAATCATTTAGAATGTAGGCCTAAACTCAGTGCTTTCACTATCTTTAATAGTTAAGATTCTTTTTAATTTAAAACTGATGATTCATTAATAGTCAGAGATAGTAAGAAAGAAAACAACAGTGTATTAAATAAATTAGTATCAATTTCATTTGTTCACTTATTAGAAAGACTCATAGAGAATAAAAAGATTATCGCAAAATATTCTATTCAAAAAACGTCATAAAATGACAAATTTGTGAAAATTAGTGAAAAGTCATCCAATAATGGATATATCACAAATCTAATATTTAGCATTAATTTTAATCGACATTTAATAGATCATCTATTCTTAATATAAAATTGTTTCTGTATTTATTTTAATAAATGTACAAAATATTAGAAGACTGTCAATTTTTGAAACGACAGTAAGAATAGTGTAAATTTTGTTCTCGACCACAAGCAACTATCCGATCTCCATTTTTTCACTGCAAACACTTGATCCAAGAAATCTTTAAACTTCGAAAGGCTATTCCGCTTCAAATGACTTGAAAGGAAGACACTTGCAAAAGTTATATCGATACTTTCTAATATCGAAGTTTCGATATACGGCTGTAACACGCAAGCAACATTCGATGTAATACAATTGTACAACTTTCACTTTCTCCAATTGTTTGAAATACACTATACGATATTTGATAACACATGGTCTCTTTAGACACTAGTATTGAATAGCTGAGAACTTCCTTAGACACAAGTTGTTTAGTAATAATATAGTTAGTTCCTTTCAACAAATTTCTTTCATTTCTTTCTCTTTATGATAGATAAAACATTTTGATTTGTTGCACAACTGATGTACATTACCTTATTTTCATGCAGAAAATTTTTATATAATTAGGTTCATCCTGTTGAAATATTCTGCTTCTTTTATTCTATATTTTTCAATTTTATATATCTCTGGTGGAAGAACAAGAGTATAAACCGAATTCCCGTAAAAATAATATAAATCAGTTTTCAAAAAAATGACGTATATCTCGAGGAATCAATCAATTTTTATGAATTAAAATTTAACATCTGATGTTTCACTTCAATCTCAAATTTTATAGTTTTTTGCAAATTAACAGTTCTGACTTACGGTTCTTTGCACGCCCAGAGATTCATCATGTAATATCATATACATAACTTAGACATAATAAATACGCAAATTGGATCAAAAGGAAACGTCCAAGGACTTCTTTTTTTATTTACATTCCATACCATATTTGTAAAATTCAAAAGGCAATAACACGTGTTTAATGCTCCACGACGACAACGGTAACGATAACAATAGCGATAGCAATAACGATAACGATAACGATATATTGTTGATTTCGTTGTATAAATCGATGTTCAAAATTGTATATTTTATTAATATACTATATAACGTCTAATAAAATTATATAATTAATCAAATGATTTTTGTACACGATAAAAAATATCTTTCTGATGTGCACCGTGCTAACATTGCAAAAATAACATCTGATAAATATGTTGTCAATCAGTTACATACATATATACATATATTATACTAACCTGACCAAAAGAGACTAATTTGTCTAATTGAATTGTTCGTATACCATATTCTTATATATATCACGTTTAAGGATAAATGCACACAAGGTGTATTTCATATCGTACTGCAACACTCTCGATGAAATTGCCAATAATTAATAGTTAGAATTATTCAACATATAAATAATTTTCACATAATGCTCGATCTGATTATGTAACAAATAGGATAGGCCTACTTAAATAGACCACGTATATACACACTTGTATATACTTATTATTAAAATTACTTGAACATCTATTATTCCAATAAATATTAAAATAAGAAAAAATAGTAATGAATGAAAGATAGGAATATTATTTATTTGGCATTATTTTTAATCGAACTATTTGGCAGTTTTGACATGCGCGCACGCATAGTATATAAAATAATTAATTTATGCAGCCTAAAATAACGATTCCTTGTTAAGATCACAAACTTTTTTTGAATGAAATTCAATTCCACCTAAGTACACCAACGTATACATTCTTCAATGTAATTAATAAAAATATGTCACAGCTGGCAATAAAATTAAGACGCAGAATGCACGTCTAATTTACTGTCTTTTGCATAAAATCAATCATCAAACGATTCTGAATTTAATTTGGCAGATGCAGATTAGAACTGACCTAGCACTAAGTAACTTGAGATTTCCTATATATAATTATTAGTTACTTTTTTTATCACGTATATCAATAATATTGCACGTGTCACAGTCTCTTTGTGTTATTCGCTCGATGAAAAATTTTATCACTAATAAATATTATACACAGTCAAAACTAATAAATTTCATGTTACTATTAACAATTGACTTTTTTGTACATACGATTCAAAGTTTATCACAAAAATTACCTTTGGTTTATCTTTGGACAGTAGCAGATGAGATTCCAAAATAGTAAGTACAGAAAGAAAACATACGATAATAACACTTACATAAACAGAGCTAACAAAACTAAAAAACTTTATATTGAAAACAAAAGAAAACAAAAATGTACGATCAAAATTTATTAAACTGAATACACACACATACACACACACACGCACACACACACACCATATACACTGCAATTACCGTACGTTTCCCTTTTTCGATTATTATTTTGAAATCTATCTATTCATCTAATATATATGTCATTCGCCGGAATTAATATTTATGTGGTCCAACAATATACACTTGATATATATTATTGAATAAAAGACGAATAAATTAAAGAAACAGCAACGTGTATGTATCAACGTCGATTGTTCGAAGAAAAGACGAAAGTCGGATAAATTAAAACTACAATTAAATTCGTACGATAGATTCGTAAATCCGTAATCGAACACCTTTGAAATAGGATTGTCGGCGAGAAGTGGAAGCTACTTAGCGACCGATCCACCATGAATATTGAGGATGTGCTGCTTCAGGTGATCCGGTCGACAGAAGTATTTTCCGCAGAGAGTGCACGTGAAAGTATACCTGGATCCGAGTCTTCCACACTCGTACCTGGAGTGTCGTGTCAGAGAGGATCGTGACCTATATTCACGTCCACACATGACACACCGAAATCTCAGCTCGCTGGCAGAGACACCCTCCATCATAGGGCTTGCTGTAAGCATACATGGAGGCTTTTTACATACGGGCTTTCCTCCCTTATTCTTAACGGGATAGTCGAAATTGATGTTCACCCCCAACGAATTATTCCTTCGTTCTGTATTCCCTCCCGCCCCTCCCATCTTTCTCACACTCTTGCTCGCTCTCTCAAGCTTTCACCACTTTTTCCCCCTCTTCAATCATTCATCTTGTTTCTCTCGATTCCCCTTTGCATGATGGTGCAAAAAGTAAACGACAATGCTACTTCGAAGCGGGTTTCGTTTCTCAACAACGAATAATGAGGAAATGAAAGCTCGAGCTAAGCATGTGGACAATATACGATCAAGGTTTAAGCTCGCTCTAAAAAGAAGACTGCGCCGCGCTCTACTACCAATATTTCTCGTCACTTCGATCAAATATTAAGTCAGTGTATTATAACACAACGTGATGCTCAAAATTTAAGTAAAGTTATAATTTATATATTTATAACTGGGCGGTAGTTACATCTCTTATATCAATTCGTGATCACAACGAATAAAAAAAAAAAAAAAAGAGAAACAGAAATATCAAAGAGAAAAAAAAATATAATGGACATTTGTTTAGAAAAACTATGACGCATAACGTGAAACAAAATAACGAAAAATTAGAACTTCTAAAATATCGAAATTAAAAAACAAACAAATACGTAATTGTAAAGCCTAGTAATCGGGGTTCATACGCAGTCTTCTTTACTTTGAGCTATTGTTATTTACATGCTGCTCCAAAATGAATCGCATTTATTAGTGTGTTTCCATTTTTACACCCGCAATATTTCATTAATTAAACCCAACGTAAAAAATGCCTCCTTGTATAATTTCACCAAATGCACGCCCATAACACACGTATATAAACCTAAAACAATCTATTATAACTGCATTTCACTAAGGCACTTTGAACATTTTCTTTTTTCTTTCTTTTTTTTTTTTTTTTTTGCAATTCAGTTGATATATTATTCCGCATAACAATAATGACCATGAAGCTTCAATTCGCGGCAGTCCATGAATCGGCATGCAGTACATATTGTCAGATATCGTAAATGAATACACGTTCTTCTTTATCAATATCTCCATCAATTAATTGTAACATTGTTTGATCAAAAAATATTTTATTACACACTCGTATGAACATCACACGTTTCGATAACAGTTTATGTACAGTTAAATCACTAAAATCATTAATATATAGCTCAACGTCTTCAAATATAGTAATCAAGAGCGTGCTGCTATTCCTACTGTTATGCATGTCAAATTGCTCTAAAATTTTAAGAAAATCGTTATAAAACAGATTTTTTTTCTTTTCTTTTCTTTTCTTTTCTTTAAACATATAATCTATAAACGCGTACGCACGCATACACACACACACACACACGCATAATTAATTTTTACTTTGAGACTCGAATGAAGTAGAAAACAAAAGAAATCAAACATCGATTTTCAAATGAAAATCGTACTGCAAACATTCATAGAAGAGAACCCACCTGATACAGCGTTAACAACGAAAAATAATTGTCTGCAAAATTCGTTGTACAACACAGAGCTTTGTAAAGGTCCGCAACTCCACTCAAATAACAGAAAAGCTCTTTTTCCAATCTTGTCCTCTTCTTTTCTTCTGTTTTTCATTTGAAAAAAACGTGATGGCGTGATTCAATACCAGTTTTCGATACGCGGCAACAATTTACGCGATAACTTTTCGATGCAAGTGTAATAAATATGCAACAGAAATTGATTCGTAACATGTCATAAACCTACTTTCTATATGTGTGTGAAATTCTAATAGACTCGTCCGAGTTTATATATTTGCGATATACACCACACTATTTACACGCTTGTATATATCGTTGTTATTCAATGAAATCAAATCGTACATACGCAAACGATAATTGAAGAAACAAATTAAAAAAAAAAACAATTTGTTTCGCCCAAAATCACCAATTGTTCCAAGCGAAAGAACATTTAACATTACGGATAACAATACATTACGAAACGAAATATCGGAACTTATTAGTCAAAATTTTAAGCGAAATAATTGTTTAAAAAAAAGATTTATAAAATGGCACGCGAGCCTCAAAAAAATAAATAAATAATTTCCAACTATTTTTTTCGATTAGAATATAAGTGATTAAAAGGTTTTAAATATTATGTCTGAAGTATAATATAATTTAGAAGTTAAAAAGAAATAGAAAGAAGATTAAGAAGTTAAAAAGAAATAGGAAAGGATAAGGAAAGGATTACATGAAAAAAAGCGATGAAGAAAACAATTGTTTTTGTCACAAATAATTTATTGCATATCTTCTTATGCTCCACTCCACTGGACGAAGACTGGGATACGTGCAATCGAAGAATGCAAACTGAAGAATCGAAGTGCAGAATACTTCCCTAATAGTTGTATATTTCAACTACTTAGTAGACAGAATTTAAGAAATGGAACTAAGCACGTTTCCATAAAGTATTAACTCAAAAATCTTGATAAGACTGAACGAATTTTTTACGATACGTGTATTTTAATAAAATTTATATCACAAACGCTTTTGATATCAAAGTGACGTGTATCGACTATACATCATATATTTCAACGACAGACTTTTTCACATGTTAATTTTAAAATTCAGTTTTTTTTCTATTTTCACGCGATCAATATATAATTTATAGTAACAATTACAATTCTCGCTTCATTGGAATTTATGTAAATTTTATATTTATGAACTGCTGAACGAGTACACAGTTCATTTTACGAGATAAAATATATTGTATTGTCGTATCACATTAGTTGGTACAATACTGTAGTTTACTTTACAGAATCACTTAAGCGATATTACGCTAACTGCACGCGAGAGAAAATTGCACGATTAAGAAAATTGTTCGCTTCCAAAATATATATATATATATTATATATATATATATATATATACGTAATCAATTTTTAATTTTGTACTCATTTATAATTTTTTTTTCTCTTATATACACTTTTAACAATGGAAATTATTTACGAAGAAATTTCGATTAGTTAAATATTTCCAATAGATTGGGAATATCGAAAAAATTATATTTTTAATAGTTACACGAATTGCAAAGAAACGTGATATTGATAATATTTTTCTATTATCTATGATTTGCCGTCTTTTAAACAAAATTATCGAGACTTACAAATTATTATTATTATTATCACGACCAAAAATGCCTCGAATTTTTTAACTTGACCGACATGATTATACAATGATTCAAAAATTTTATTGCAAAAACTAGACAAAAAAAAAATTTGGAAAAGATACTTGAACATTTCTTGCTCTATTGAAAAAGCAACCCGAACTCTTAAACACATCGATCAAGTTTGCGTCTTTTAACGAAAGACATATTTATAATATATATTTACGATCAATAACAAGGCATGAATTTGAATTTAATCGAACAATCGTCTATGAAATAATCGCGAATTCATGCGATAAAGAAAACACAAGACATACTCGACATCGTAACATAATTGTTTGTACCGATTTTAGACAAAACTTACTAATGAGGTAACTAAAATTTATTGTAGAAAAATTCTCCTTTACTTGGTCTCTCCTCGAGAATCTCGATAAAATGTAACGGAGAGCTGTTGATTCGATCTGGAAAACCTTCTTCTAAGTAGTAAAGTGCCACATGATGACCAGTCCGTTTCCGTTGTACTCGCACGATATCCAACCGAATGAAACGACGACAGCAAGCTCCGCAGGTGAACTGCCTGCCTCTGTATTCCACACTCACATCTCCGGTGTATGTCCAAAGAGTAATGCCAACAGCACGAGCAACAATATACTCAAGAATCGATTCTGAAACACCGTTGCCCTTACCACAATCACGCCAACATTCGTACCGCTCGACTAGTCTCACCTTTCTGAACTGATACACCTCCCACTGAAAAACATCTATCACTGTACTTCACGTCCAGTTATCTCGAATCCGTAATAATAAAATAAAATATCCTGCGTTTAATTTTACAATGCGTCGCTACTTCTATAATGATCGCTGCGCAGCAACCATTATCGAGGGAACAACGATTGTAACGTGTACACGTTAGCATGTTCCTACTTCGTCTCGTCTCTTCAAATTTCATTCTGTCCATCAGTCTAATTTTGTTTATTGTAAGACACAGCCTAACCATATCAAAAAAAAAAAAACATCCTCTCCTTCAATAACTAATCTACCATGAAAAAAAAAATTATATCTGCTATTTATGAAGCTTAAAAATTAGATTGAAAAATTAGGTTATCTTATCAAAAATGCAATAAACACACAGTACTGTATACTACTAATAATCATCTAATAGAACTGTAACATTTACAATATTCTAACAAATCAATACAATATACCTAACGATAATTTAAAAGTATCTCCTATCTCTCTTGTTCCCTCTACGACGTATTCAACTCATAATCGTTAATACTTGTACAATACATAGTTAATCAATTTCAAGGCATTCCTTATATGAAATATTACGTTTTTTCATCCTGTAGATACAGTTTCTCCCGTAAATACTTAATAGCATTTACCGTTCAAAGTGACAATATCTCTGCGATACCCGCAACAAGAAATTACGTCAAATTGAACAATAAGGCTTCTTTGAAATATCACGTAGAAACTTCTCAATAAATGATTTGTTTACTGAAATTCCTTGCGTGTACTCTGTTTTCACTTCAAAAATTGATGATTGAAGAAATAAGAATAAATAAGAATAAGAATAAATATTTCGTTCATAACTGTGTCACTAAATGCGTTGAATCTTTGCTACATGATCAATTTTATATAAAGAAAAAATAATCACGATGGATGGAAGTACAATCGATCGGTCTTTCATTATCTGGCGCCTTAGAGTACGAAAGATAAAGATTGAACACACATCCATCTTGTGATTTTTTTTCTGAATCTTTTATCTTTACACTCATCTCGAAACCTATTAAGTTTTCCTACACTTTTCTCAGACGTACAAAATGACCATCCA